TCTCTCTCTCTCTCTCTCTCTCTCTCTCTCTCTCTCTCTCTCGCTCCTTCTATCCCATCCCCTCCACACACACACACACAATTTTTTTGTTTACGGGACCTTTCCAGCGAGTGCTTGCTGTGCATTTTGTGAACGTTTTACTCAGTCGAGTATAATAAGTAAATAACTGAAGGAAACGCTTAAAAAAGAAAATATGTTTATTGAAAATATATTTACAGTGGCGTTCAAAAGAAACGTGAAAAATGCAATCACCCAATCATTGTGTTAAAGCCTTGCAATACCCACTTATACAGCATACCGATTTCAAGGTAAATAAATTCTGTATCATCTGGCACATTGATATTTCCTCTATGTTAAGAGTAATAAGAGACGCTCGAGATAATAATATGGTCAATCAAAATTAACCTTAAAAAACCAGACTTTACAAAATTGTACGAAATCAAAGAAGCGTAAAATTGTCTTTGCACATGTATTGAGGAGCATCAATTATTGATAGAATGGACAAGCATTGTTTATCCAGTGAATGGAGAACTTCGTCTTTGCACTAAACATTGTTTTATTTCTACAGTTTCAAACAGAACGGAATACAGAGCAATCGCAAACACCAAGCAAAATTTGGACATAACAATGTGCTCTTTGTTATTTTGCATAGGAGGCATTGGTTTTGTGTAGGGCACGAAGCCTTAGGACATTGACTCTATTACATTTTAGATATTACCATCTATCATTTCATCCCAAATGTCACAGAGAGTTAAAAACAAATGGTCTGAATTGGGAGCAAAGTCGCTTCTCTTCAACTGCTGTGTCATGGGGCTTCTCATACCCTCAGGATTCATATCGGTGCCGTTTACTGGTGAACAAGCGGATGGTTACAGAACGTTAGGAACACGCCATTGGCCGATATTTATAGTAACAGCCTTCTTGTTGGTGTCATAAAATCTTTAATAGTGTTCTTCATTCTGACAAAAGACAATAGAAGTTCCAGACCTACTGTCTCACAGTCTGATCTGGAAAAAAGTGGAGTAAAAAAAAAAGTTTTTTTTTTGTTTTTTGGTTTTTTTGGGTTCATTTTAGCAAAGTGTTATGATAATGCTCATTTGGCGATGCAGTTGCGAGCGCCGTAAAACCTCTACTAAAAAAAAACTAATGCTCATTATATTATGTATGTTAAAGAATATTATTATGTCAAACAAGATGGCTGTTCCTATAAATATCAGCCAATGGCGTACTCCTAATGTTCTCTAACTATCCGCTTGTCTGGAGCATTGACTGCCTCTCCTAGCTCATCCGGGGTAATCTTTATTGTTACGGCTCTACTAAGCCCACAGAAGCAAAAAACTCTTGATTTATCAAATTATCTTACTTATGTGTAAGGGGGGTGGACTGGTGTGTGTCTGAGTGTGTGTAGTTGTTGTTGTTTTATTTTTTGTTGTATTTGTTGATGTTGTTGTTGTTGTTGTGTGTGTGTGT